TTTATAAAAGTATTGGTACAGGATGGATTTGTGGAGAAATTGTCATTCTCCACAAATAGTTTGAAAAGCACTGCTGTGATGAATGTAAAGGAAGCATAAGCCACGGACTGTGCCCTCAAGGAGCTCTTACACTAGTGGGTGAACGGGTACCACAGTGGTTCTGAGAAACCACTGCCACTGTTCCATGTGCTTCAACTCTTTCATGGAACAGAAGGCTATACAGATCTGGATGTAGTCAACGGATTGGAGACTTGGCAAAACCTCAAAACCACTCCCTAAGAAAACTCTTATATTTGCCCTCTTAGCACACCAGCAGCACTAACCTAGATGGAATTGGACTTCTCTCAAATATTGGGCAATATGATATGGTACTTTTAAAAAGTAAAATTTCTCATGATAGCCATCTGTCGAAAATTATGCTGGGCCCAATGAAAGAACTATAAAGACTGGGTTTTGCATACCATAGACTGTCTAGTATATGCTCATGGGCCAATGGGGTTTTTCTTTGGCTGGCACTAAGCAGTAAGCTAACCAACTGGCTCTTCAATCTGAACACTACCCGTGACGGGCTATTCAAAATTTTTTCCATATTACTTTTTAAGATACATAATTGAATAAGTAATATACTTCAATAGCACAAATTTGAGAAAGTACACAACTCGACATCTTGTTGTTTTCACATGCTGTATCATAGAGAATTTTACATATAAGTACATAAAGAGCTTTCTCATTCAGTAGATGTACCATTATTTATTCGATCAGTTCTCTATTGATGGTTATCTGATTGTTTCTCATTTTTTATTACAAACAATGTTACAGTGAATAACCTTGTACACACAACAGTTTATACCTATATACACATAACTGAAGGAGAAATTCCTAGAAATATAATTGGTATAATTAGTATTTCTCCAATCATGAGATTAGCTACCATTATTGGCATAGAAACCATTTGTTCATTTTGATACTCAGTGTACAGGTACAGGGCAACTACAAATGATCTTAGATCACTGTGTTTTCAGAGTTTCCTAACCTATTGTCTCAATAGATTCCCTGAACTAAAGAACTTTGTTCATTTTCTTTAATTCTGTTCCATTTTTCTAGAATTATCCCAGGCATTTTTTCAGCACCCATTTTATTTTAAAACCAGTATCTCTAAGGGATAACACAGTACTTGACACAATAATAAGGGCTTAAACAAAATGTAGAACAAATTAATAAGAATAATACCAGAACCATTCACTTACTGCATTACACAACTATGTACTCCTATAACTACTTCAGTCTGTATTTGCAATGACAGTTTCAAAATTAAAGATAAAGCTGCTTTAGACATGACAGTTTAGGTGCCACAGTGATCTATTGCTCTGAAAGTTTTTCATTTGCAAAATTAACTCTAAAGTGAAATTCACTGCTTTATTCTTTCTTTATAATCAACTTTTAAGATCACATCATCTTTACTCTTTGCTTTGTAAGACCTGAAATGGTTTTTAATAAAAAAAAGTCTGTTGACCACTGTGGGGGTGGGGTGGGAACATTTTTCCAGTTTTTTACAAGGAAAAGGGAGGTGAGCAGAGACTCATTTAAGTTGATTTATCTACACTCTCTTGGCCAAATCCACTTGTGACCATGTGCACAAGCTTGTGGGATGCCTGGCTAAGTTTCTCACGGGGAAGGGAACAGGGTTAACAGAATCTATAACTAGGTTAAATTATTAACTTTGCCCATTAGTACCATACTCTAACCACTTCACACGGGAAAGTATTGTATAGGCATTTGTTACTCACCACATAAATAGTGCCTGAAACACTTGGGGATCCAAAGACTTCTTCATCATCATCATCATCATCATCATCATCATCATCAATAGTAATACTAGCTAACACTTATTGAACATTTAATCTTTTCTAACTGTTAATGCATTTTATCCTATTATTCCATTTTACAAATAAGAAACCTAAAGGAGAGTGAAATTAGGTAACTTGAATGAGGTGAAATAGCTATTAAGTGTCTGAATCTGGTTGGTTTTGAGCCCATACAGTCAGGATCCAGAGCCCACTCTCCAATCTGTGTGTTTTTTTTTGCAATTTGCAAAAGATAAAATGTACTTTTTTGAAACGTACTTCATTAAAAAAAAAAAAGAAAGAAAGAAAGAAAAACAAAGAAAAAGAAACGTACTCCTAAAATCCCAACAGGAGCCCTCCAAACTGTCAGCAGTCAGTGGTGACACCAAGTGGTAATATGCATGTACTGCAGCCATCTCATAGTTGCCATAAATCACTCCTGTCCAAGCTCTCCCAAACAACTACTGTATTCCAAGTAGTTCTGCTTATAACCAGATTGCCATCCTTCAACCTGTCTTTTTCTTGTCTTAAATAAAGAAGTGTCTTTTCCAAGGTTAGCTTGTATTTTGCATCTCATTTCTATCTCATCACATATTTCATTGCATTATTTATCCCCTCCTTTTATTGCTTCTTCAATTTCTGTTTCACTACTGGCTCTTCCTATTAAGTCCACAAATAAGCTACAGTTTCTCCTATCCTGCAATGAACAAACAAACAAACAAACAAACACTTCCTTGAACGATCACCCCAGATTCACCTTCTTAAAAAAGGGTTCCAATAAAGGGATTCCCTTGCTTAAAAGCCTTGATTCTTTTTCAGTCACATTCAGAATTAAGTACAAATCTCAGTCCAACATTCAGGATCTTCCAAAATTGGGCCTGAATTTACCTTCTGGTTATATCACCCACAATCCCCCTATACTTCCCTACCTTAAGCTTCAACCTGACAGGTCCTCATATGTGATCCCCACCCCACACACACACACTGTTACCTCACTTGGATTTACCTTTATCAGAAGACTCAGTGTATCCTGATTTAATTAATTATGATTTAATTAATTTAATTAAATTATAATTCTTTCTAGTTACTTGTGGCTATTCCCCACCTACCCATACACTATGAGTGCCCAAAGGCCTGGTGAGAAAGTAAAAATTAGCTTGGACTGAGAAAACAGAAATCCAGCCAGTCATCAGGCTGCAATTACAGACACCAATAAAGCCAGCTGCAAATTTAACAGGGAAGAGTATTTCTCCCAAAGACATGCAGCTATAAAGTGATAACAACCCCCTTTATTTGTGTGAACACCACTTTTTTTATTCACTGAGAAACTTTATTCTCTACAATTAGAGACAATGAGAAACTTTGCTGCTTGAAATCATAGTAATGAGAATAAAACATCCACATTTGCCTGGAGGGCATAAATTTCTTTGACTCAGAGAAGCAGCCTCGATTTCCAATCCAAGTGCAGAGCTTCAGATAAGAGGTATCTGGACACAGCATTCCACATCTATCTTTACTTTGTGGTTCCCAAGGAAACAGGACTCTGGATTCACATCACAGTCCAGACCTGATGTTGACCCCTTCATACAGCCCTGCTTTGAGCTTACCAAAACAATGCTTCATTTAAAATTCACCTAAACTCCACCCTTCCACCCTTCCCCCTAATTCCTATAATGCCTTTTTTCTGTGGTTGGTAAGATGTCCCAAGGTTTTTCTGGTGTGGGGTCTCCCTCATTGCAATGGGTTAAAAAGCCAGACTTAAAAATTTATTTATTTTAATTTTTATAATTAAAAAAATATATATATTTTCATTGATTTCAGAGAGAGGAAGGGAGAGGGAGAGAGAGTTAAAAACAATAATGAGTCATTGTTCAGCTGCCTCCTGCACGCCCCCTGCTGGGGATCGAGCCCCGAAATCCGGGCATGTGCCCTGACTGGGAATCCAACTATGATCTCAATCATATAGGTCAGTGCTCAACCGCTGAGCCACGTTGGCCAGGCCAAAAAATATATATACTTATTGATTTTAGAGAGAGAGAGAAAGAGACAGGAACATCGATCGTTAGCTGTTCAACTCATTCATCAACTGATTCCTGTGTGTGCCCTGACCAGATTGATCCTGGGGATTGAACTGCAACCTTGGTATACCTGGACGATGGTCTAAGCAACTGAGCTACCCCGCCAGGGCAAGCCTGACTTTTTGGATTATAGATTTGCCCTTGGTGGCTTTGCACTGACTGGGTGTTTTGTATCCCTGGCCCCTTAGCTTGCCCAAAGTAGGCACTCAAAATTGCTTACTACAGTAGACTCTGAATTAGACTACTGGGGTTCTAGTTAGATTACCTGGATTGATTATATGGATTCCAGTCTCAGTTCTACCAATAGCTAATTAGCAGGATCATCTTACATAAGTCAATCCCATTGGCCTGTTTTTTCTTTTGTAAAACAAGGGGCTGTAACTTACAACAGTAGGGCAAGGCTTTGGCTCAGGTAGACTCAAATTACTACCACTTACTAAGACCTGTAATTTTTGCTTTTCTAAGCCTCCGTTTCTATTTAAATTATTAAAATGGATAAAATACTAAAAACTGCCTGTGGATTTCCCAGTGCAATGAGGATCAAGTTGGCTGTTAGAAGCATGACTATTCCTACTCCTATTGGGTGAGTTAGGACAAGTTAACCTTTCTGTGCCTCTGTTCTTACCTATAAGTAAAAGTGGAGAAATAATAGTGTGTACCCCAATGGGGTTAATGTGGGCATTAAATGAGTTGAAATAAGTAAAGGGCTTGAAAAGTGTCTTGCATATTATTAGAGGCTCAAAATACGTGAGCTAATATAATTAGTAATATTCGATTTCTACTACTAACTACTCTGTGGGCCAGGAGCTCAAGATAAACAGTTTCATTCTAAGGACAAAGACAAAAAACGTACCGCAGGCTCCAAACAGTGAAACATAATGCAGTATTTCTCTTTCAAAAGCAATTGACACTCCCAGCACTGGGTTAAGACCCGCCCAGTCCTCATTAAATATGGCAGCGAGCCCGGCCGGCCTATTGCGGCTGCGCACGCGTAAACCCCTCCCAGAGCCTCGATCCCAGCCTGCAGTCTTGGTTCTGCCGCCACCCAAGCTGGCATCGCCCACTCCCCGCTGGGCCAAGGTGTGGGGAGAGGGCTGGCCAGGGCGCGCAAGCGCAGACCTCAGCTGTGCTTGGCCGATACTTGGCGAGACGCCTGTCACATGAGCCGCGCGCCAGCTCGGCTCCCTCTCCTCCCCGCAGGGCTGTGAATGAAGCTCTGCAGGCTACGTGGGGCGCTAGCTCAACTTGGTGTTCAGGACGCCAGAGCCGGCTGAGCACTTGGCCCGCCAGCAGCGGACACGGGCTCCACCGCTCTCGACCTCGGCAACAGGTAAAGACAGATGAGCTGTCCCTTAGCCAACGGGTCCTTTCTCGGCCCGCTGGCCCCTGGCCCACCCCCTGAGCACCCCCTGGGCGGAGCGACACAGAGAAGCGCTCCTCCGCTGGCTTGGCCCGGGGGAGATGGGGGTTCCCCACGCTCGGCCGCCGCCGCCTGGCACTCGAAGGAGTTAGACCGGCTAGTTCTAGCCAGTGCAGGGCGGCATCTTCCCGGGAGCCCAGCCCTAGTCTCCGAGCAAGGGTCCCTGCGCTGTCCCAGCAAACTTTTCTCGCGGAGAGGCGCCAAGTCTGCCCCGCTTTTGAATGGGGGAAGTTAGTTCCAGGCGTCCCCTTTCCAGGACTGGATCAGAGTGGCTTTGGCTGGTAAAGCTCTGTCAAGGCCCGTTCTTCTCCCTCCTGCTCTGGACTCAAAGGTTGGTGTGGGTCTTAGAGAGGAGTTCAAACTCTCCGAAAACTAGTTGCTGCGAGTTTTTCTTTTCCCACTTAATGCGGATAACCGGTTCTCTCCAGACTTTCTAGGCTTGCGCCTGAGCGCCTTCACCACCAAGGGCTTTCCCTTCACATCGATGTGCCTTTCTTTTACATTTCAGAGCAAATCAGTTTCCTGGACTGCCAAGTGAAGCTGTACGTGTGCCCCTGTGATAACGTCAGTGTAAGCTACCTCGAATAAGTGAAGGAAATCAGAAGTGTGGAGCATAAAATCCAGTAAGGATCTGCTTTACATAAATGCCATACATTTATTAGCAGTTACCTGGGTTGGACTTCAGAGATGTTAAATTTTGCTCGGCCCCACCAGGCGCGGGTCAGTACTATTTAACTGTGCCCGAAGTAAGGGGAGGGGAGGGGGGAAGAAGGCAAACCCAAACACTTTTCCAGGTCCCAGATAAATCATCGGAGGGCTTTTTTCTGGCGAATCCATCCTAGGACTTTGTGAACCTTTCCTTATCCAAAGCATTGTCTTTTCTCTGTTGGTGTTTTGGAACTAGTGTACACATTTACATTTAGTCCTTAAAAAGAATTCATTAAAGAAGGCCAAAATGGTGACTTTCAAGTTTGTATTAGTCTTCAGTACCTGTATGCTAGTACTTTCATTTCAGAGTGGAGGTGTTGCTTATGTAAAAGCTATGGAAATAGCAATGTACTTTGATGTTCACCAGGTCAAAAAGGTGAGGACTTTTTCTTTAAAAAAGTAGGTTGGCTCATATGCTAAATAAGGAAGACCAATTTATTAATTAAGAACTTGTTTAAATGGACAAGCAAAGTGTTGAATATGTTAAATCTCGAAATCAAAGTAGTCAGACCTTTCATCCCCCCCCCCCATTCCTACCACCTTTTATATCCTTGCAAATAGTATTGTCCTAGGACTGAATATGACGTTTTAAAAATAGGAATGAGTTGAATTAATTTGGCTTTACTTAAATTAGTATTTTATTTTTTCTTTGGGTCTCCCCCCTTCCTTATAAAAGCAACATATGCTCCCTATAGGACACTGGCAAAGTATAGGAAAGTATAATGAAGTAGAGAAGAAGAACCACCCAGAGGGCATCACTCTTTTTATTATGCTTCCTTTCTTTTCTTTCCTTATACAAGATCTATTTTAAACTTCAAGTAGTCACAAAATTTGCTGTCCCTTCTACACTTTTTTTATGTAAAGTCGGGGGTTTGTGGAGGGCATTGAATATTATGCTGCTCTTCATTCCCCAAAGCATAGAACATCAAGTAGGAAAGATGTTTAATGATTATTTCATCCAACCACCCATCTTTTGAGGTTCTGAAACCCATTTGTTGAAGATCCAGTGATTCACACAGAATTGGACAGTACCCAGTGGCAGTATGAACTGACTCTAGATCTCCCCATTTTGTCTTTCTTCAGCTATCCCTTGCTGCTTAGGGGGAACTGCCTGTGTCTGCATATCTTTGAAAGAGAGATTCAGGGAGGGATAGGAAAGAATTTTCAAGGATTTGAATTTTTTTTCATTTAGTTTTCCATTTTTCTGTTTACATTTTTCAGGGTTGGGGCTTGAGCATCTGGCAGAAACTAAGACCACATTGCTGCTGTTCCATCTACATCCAGGTCAAGCCTCCCTACGAAAGTGGGGGGGGCTCTGAGAAACTCTGAGTCTCTGACCCCAACGTGGGAGTGGATAGGATCAATATGGCAATGTGGCAGGGTAAGAAATTAGCACTCATTCCTCTAACTGGTTTTTCCTCCTTCTATATCCTCCAT